ACAATCGTCTGTAATCCTTATAATTTCAAGGCAAAATTTAGCTAACTTAAATACTTACAAGTATTGCTTTGTCTCTTTGATCCCTTTGAATTTTTCGACCAGGCATAAACATTTGTAAAAACCTTTCCTTCCTGCCAAATGTAAAAGCCGAATAAGGATTTGTTATTTCCAATTTTAAAATGACATAAAGCGGTGTGTGGATTATCCTGACTATTTATACCCATTTTATTAATGAGAATCGAGCAGATAAAATTGTATAAAAAGTGAGTCGGAGGGGGAGGCAATTTTACTTATAGATCTCCCCCCGGGATCTATGCCTGGGTATGTTAACTGCTATGCCTAATGGGCTGAGGTAGATTATGGTGATAGAGGACTTCCTGATTGACTCTGTGAAGTGCTATATGCATCGGTTGTGTTATAACAATTTTGATGATTCTATTGATTATATTAATTTGTTCGTTCGTTTATCCTAAACAATTTAATCGATTATTTGTTTAAAAAAGTAAAAATAACTGAAATTTAACATATTATCCAAATGATTACAGTAAAAGTGCCTACAGGGACGACGTCTTGAGTAAAAATATTGAGTGAAACTCTAGTTTTTTTTTTTAACAGTTTATTGTATAATATTTCAAATACATATTACGCAGAGCTTAATAGATAGGTAACGATAACAGGCGAGACGGATATATTTACTTAAAAACGACTTAGAAGGGATAAACTAAATAGAAATATTTGCAATTGGTATTAATTTGCAGCCAATCGTGGGTCACATTAAGGCCGTCTATCACTAAACGAATGGATTGCGCATAAAGATAAGTTGTAATTGAATTTAAGCAATTTATTAAAGTGGATTTATTTTGTAAAAGAAAGCAATATAAACTAAATAAGAGTTGATGCTAACGTAAATAGTGTACGGTATTATTTATTAGTTACTTATTAATATCATTTGTCTTGCTTATATATATTCGAACTGGATGTTATCAAAAACTTTTTAATACAACAATTAAAAGTTAAGCGTAAAATCCACTAAATCCTGAAAGAGACGTATTACAAAACTTTATTTAAATATTACAAAAAATTATAGAAATTATTATTACGTACTACTTAGTTGAACCTGTCCAAAGACGTAGTTTTATTTTTAATTAGGCAACTAAATCCGAAAGAGTCGTATCATCAGAAGAGATAGCCGCACCAATTTCGTCACAACATCATCATCATAGGGTCGTCAGTCCTAAGACTAGTTGGACACGTACCTCCACTCTTTCCTATCCTGAGCTAAACTTCGCATTTCCCTAAAACTAGAACAGCCCACATCCTTAACTATTTGCGAACAGTAATCTGATCTAGGTCTACCTCTACCCCTCCTAATTCCTGTTTCTGCCTCTAATATGTCTCTGACTAGACCTTCGTGCCTAAGAAGGTGTCCTACCAACCTATCTCGCCTATTTTTTATTGACTTCCATAGAGTCCTCTGTTCTCCTATTCTTTCCAATACCTCTTCATTTCTAACCTTTT